TGCTCAGTGGGAGGCCTGCTTCTCCCTCTCCCACTCCCCCTGCTTGTGTTCCTGCTCTCGCTGTCTCTCTGTCAAATAAATAAAATCTTTAAAAAAATAAAAATAAAAAATAAAATAAATGTTTATTCGTGTGTGTTTATTAGTTTGTTTTAACTCAGCCTTCTCGTGCCACTGGATAAGTGAAACAGTGGCCACCCCAAAGGACAGAAAGGAGCAGAGCCCTCCCCCCCCCGCCCCCCTCGGGGCTTCCCACAAAAGGAACAGTGAGCTCTCACTGTGCTGTCACACTGAGACTTCGGGGTTTGCTTGCTACCTCAGCAGAGCCAGCCCTCTCCTGACTAAGCCACCAGGAACTGGATCATGGGCCCCCTTCCTACTCCTGTGCCTGAGAGGCCTGAGCAGAGGGCAGGTGGTAGACAAACATAACCGAAGGAAAAGCAACTAGACTCCAGCTCCGGGAGAAGAAGAACTGGTTTGTCTTCTGGAATCCCATGCGCTGGTAGAGGGCCAAGGCCGAATGCTGCAGCACGCTGGTGTTGAGGACGACTTGGCGGTAGCCCTGGTTGCGTGCGAACTGGAGGACAGTCCTGACCAGGGCTTTCGCTATCCCCTGACGCCGGTGCGCCGAGGCTACGCACAGGTGAAACAGCTGCCACTGCTCCTTCGGCAGGGGGCGCTCCTTGATGGGCAGCACGCCCGCAATGCCCACCACCTGCCCCTCAGCCTCGACCACCCAGAAGCAGGAGCCGGGCTCACTCAGGTAGGACTTGCTGATGTCGGACACGTCTGTGCGCAAGCACATGACTTTAAACTTGGTCCAGGGGTATTTGGAGAGGAATCTCAGAGCAGTGAGGAGGGTGAAGCTGGCTACCAGGGCCAGGAGCCAGGAGCCAGAGACAAGGAAGAGGGCGAGGGACACCCCCAGCAAGAGCACCAGGGTTCGGGACAGCTTCAGGATGTGGCGGAAGGTGGTGGGGACGTACTCTTCCATCGCCTGGGAGAACAAGTCCAGGACCTGTGTGCGGTGGCTCTCCCGGTATTTGCAGATGTGGTAAGGAGCCATGGAGGTCTGCTGTGTCTGAACCTCAAAGTCCACGAGGGAGTGAGGTAGGTGTCCCTGCACACCTTCCTAGCAACCCTGGGGAAGACAAAAGAAGCCAGGTAAGTGCCCCATCTCTGCCACCTCCCAGGAGTGGGGGAGACCCTGCTCAAGGGCATTTCTGCTTTTGCCCTAGAGGATGTAGGCAACAGCCACTGGGAGAAGGTGTAGGGTCAGAATGATTTGTGTATGATCTTGGCTCCATCCCTTTCTAGCTGTGTAACCTTGGTATGTCACCTAACTTCTCTGAACCTCTGTTTCTTCATCTGTAGAGCAGAGTAAAATACAAATACATCCCCTGCCTTCTGGGATTGTTTCGAGGATTTAATAAAATAACACATACAGGGGCACCTGGGTGGCTCAGTTGGTTAAGCGTCTGCCTTCGGCCCCAGTCATGATCTCAGGGTCCTGGGATCGAGCCCTGGGTTGGTCTCCCTGCTCAGCGGGGAGTCTGCTTCTCTCTCTCTCTCTCTCTCTGCCCCTCCCCCTGCTCATGTTCACACTCTCTCTCAAATAAATAAATAAATAATCTTTTAAAAAATAAAGGGGTGCCTGGGTGGCTCAGTCGGTTAAGGGTCTGCCTTCGGCTCAGGTCATGATCCCAGGGTCCTGGGGTAGAGTCTCATGTCAGGCTCCCCACTCAGTGGGGAGTCTGCTTCTCCCTCTCCCTCTGCCTCTCCCCTGCTTGTGCTCTCTGTCAAATAAGTAAGTAAATAAATAAATAAATAAAATCTTAAAAAAAAAAAAAAAAGAGTCAAACATCAAAAAAGTCCCAGGCTTGATACCCAGAGGAGTGTTCGAGGCTCCAGGCCTCTCTCAAGACACTGTCCTTCAACCTGAGTCCTCTCACCTGCTACCACAACAGACTTGAACGTCCAGGGCAGTGACAGGATGGCCTCTGCTCTCAGCCTCTGCCTGACATCCAGGAAAGACTGCCCAGGGCTCAGTCCGCCACCAGGAAGCACGCCCCCCCTAGACGGCCACCTCATTGGCTGGCTTCTGCACACTGGATAATCATAAACCCCAGGATCAAAAGGCTGGGCTATTATGGAGCAGGAAGCCCATTCCCCACTGACCTCTGTGATCGCCAGGGAATTAGCCTGGGGGGGGTGTGTTAGCAGGGTCTGGCATATCTCAGGGGATCCTTGCCCTCGAAGATGGCCTACACTCTTCCTCCCACGGTGGTTCGGGCCTGGAGCATCCCCCAGCTGGCATCTTGATGTGCTGTGGCGTCCACCCTCGGCCCCTTCACACAGCTTCTAGGAGCCCGGGGATTGCACGCCTCGCCTTGTGCTGTCGTCGCAGGCTAGAGTCCAGAGCCGCGGCGCAGCACGCAAGGGGCCCTCTCCCTGCCTACGCTCTACCCGGTCTGAGGCAAACTGATCGTTTGCAGCTCGCCGCCCTCATCTCACTAGGCTCCATCTTCATTCGTTCGTTGGTTCGTTCGTTCAAGGCTCTGTCGTGTATGATGCGGCGACTGCGCGCCCGGCGGCCTTGCCGCTATGAGCAACAGCGACATGCGGCTGACGGGCACGAGCACGGCGTGCAGCGGGTGTGTGTTCTGGTCGTTCGTCAGGGCCTGTGCCACAACAGCTGTTGAATAGTTTGCGCTGAGATGCACTGAAGCAGGGAAAAGCAAAACAGGAAATCCCTTCTCCGTGGCACGTAGATGCCGTCGAGGGGGTGCTTCCGTCCCAAAACGTCGCGCGCGCCTCTCCCCTCGCCGCGCGGTCAAGCCCCGGCGCTCGGGTCTCACGGCTCCTGAAGCCAGACTCTCCTCGTCCGCAAGATGTGTGTGCGGTGTTACCAAACGCTTGTCTGGCGCCATGCGGGAGACGGGGCCAGAGCAGGGGGCCTGGCGCGCCCAGGTTTTCCGTGCGAGGAGCTCCTCGGGAGTTGCCGGCAGTGGGCCGACCGGAGAGGCGCGCGGCGCGGAGAGGGGCCGGCTGCCCTAGAGGGTGACAGGGCCTCCCGGGGGAGGACCCTCAGGTAGACAGCCGAAGGAGAGGTGGATGCGAGCAGGGCTGAGTGAAGGAGAGCGTCTGGGGCTGAGGGAACAGAGGCGCGAAGACCCTGAGGCAGGACAAAGGCAAGGTTTTCAGGGAAAGGGGACCGACATGGCCGCGGAGGGAGGGAGAGAGGGAGGGAGGGGAGACGGCAGCTGGGGCCTGGGCTTGTAGATCCTGTCGTCCCAGTTGTGGAGTTTGGACTCTACTCCAGAAGTGACGGGAAGCCATCGATAGGCTTTTACCTGGGGAGTAACACAGGCAGGGGTGCGTGCATGTGCGTTGCTCTGGCTACATCTGGAGAGTGAATGGGAGGAGACAGTAGTGGAAGCACATATTTCCCACCCCACAGGCTCGTGTAGCAGTGCAGGTGAAAAAAGAGCCCCCAGGGACAGATATGCAGGTTGCTCACTGTTCAAGAGCAGCTGGCCGAGGAGGGCTAGTCAGAACAAGAATAGAGGCCCACTCCACTCACCAAGCCATGAGCCCTGGCACAGAGCTGAGTCTGGCCAAAGGAAAAGGTGACCTTTTCCTTATTTGCTCAAAGGCATCGCTGCCCACTGGGCTGTGCATCGAATGGGCTGCATCTGTGTGAAAGGGGTACCTTGTTCTATGTTCACTAAGGAGCCACATGGGCTAGCAGAGGCCCTACAAGGGTAAGTGGTGGCTTGGACCAGAGTGAGGTGATCCAGATGGTGAGAACCAGCCCACCTGTAGGTGCATTTGGGGGGCAGAAATGGCAGGAGTTTGTAATGACCCAAATGGGAACGAGGACGAGAAAGGGGTCAGAGGTGAGAGCCACATTTCTGGCAAGAACCTCTAGAGGATGCAGGAGGGACAGACTTGGAGAGAAAGATCATGACTGCCCCTAGTGGTACCATCTTGTGGCCTTCTGGTTAGAAACCATAGGCTGGCAGCTGGGGCCCAGGCCCAGTAGACGGAGACTGATGACATTCCAAGTCTTTGGCACCCAACAAGGCCACAAGGGTAGAGTTTAACATGAAATCTGAGGGGTGAGCCATGGGTATTTGCTCCATCGGTTTCATACATTTTAATATTTAAACATTTCAGTGTTAACCAAAAAAAAATGAACTAGGAATCAAAAGGGGCTCTAAAGTACAATTGAGTTTGCCTAGCGAGTCTATTATTAACCAGTCAAAAACGTAATAGTCAAGCTGAAGGGCCAGAGGTTTGTGATCTGTCCCCATGCCCTCCTTCACTGTATTCTCACTGGCTTCTGTGGTCTCCTCAAAACTCAGTGGTCTTGGTTTCCATTCAGGCTTTTCATTCTTCCTCACAGCCATAAACAATGATAATGAGAATTTATTGACATGAAAAAGAAAGTCAAAATACAGCTCCAAGAAATAAAAAACTATAAAACAGTAGGTTTTAACTCATTTTTGGAAAAATATAACTTGAAACTAATGTACAGACACAAGCATGCAGAGAGAAAAGTCTGAGCGATCATACCAAATGCTGGCAGCAGCTGTCTCTGGATGGAGGACTTAACGGGTCATTCTCTGTGCAAAAGATGGAGCTTGGGGTGTGCTGAGGCTTCAGGCTCTTACCTTCAGATGGTGAAAAAGAGGCTTGGGAATCTACCTGGCTCTGCTCAGCTGGATCTAAGAGTCCAAAGGCACCTAGCTAAGATCACGAACTCCTAAAGGTAAGGCAGATGTGTTTATTCTGTTATTTCATGTTTTAATTAACTATTATAGTGTGTACAATTCAGCACACTCACTATGTTGTGCAACCACCACCTCTGCCTGGTTCCAAAGCATGTTCACACTCCAAAAGGAACTCCCTGGCCCCTACACAGTCACTCTCTCTTCCTCCTCTCGCCAGACCCTGGCAACAACTAACCTGCCTTCTGGATGTTTCATTTAAATGGAATCATGGGATAGACAAACTTCTATGTTCAGCTTCTTTCGCTTTATTTTTAAGACTCACCCATGTTGTAGCATGTATCAGTAGGTCATGGCTTTTTATGGCTGCATAATATTCCATGGTAGGGCTATCCCACTTTGTTTATCTATTCATCCATTGAGGGACACTTGGGTTTTTTCCACATTTTGGCTGTTGTGAATTGTGCTGTTATGAACATTGGTGTCCACATTTTGGGTTGAGCACCTGTTTTCAGTTCTACTGGGTATATACCTAGGAGTAGAATTTCTGGGTCATATGATTTTATGTTTAACATTTTGAGGAACTGCCATACTGTTGTCCAAAGTGGCTGAACTGTTCTACTTTCCCACCAGCAACGAGTCCTATTTTATTTTCCTATCTGCCTCAGCACTAGTGCCTGGTACATAAAGAGAAATCAGATGCCTGGCACTGTGAGGTATCTCTTTTCCTAGGCTCTGTTTGATATTCATGCCAACCTAAGTACTAAGGTTGATATTAATGTCCCCATTTTACAAAAGAGAAACCAAGGCCAGAAAAGCTGAGATCTCCTACCCAAGGCCTCATAGAATCACCATTATTCCAAAGGTTGTGGATTTGAGAGGAACATGTCACTAAAACCCCCCACTTATATTTATGAAAAATATTCCCTACTATACCAGCGCAGCCCAGAAATGAGCCAGAGAGATGGACAGTTCATAAATGGCATTACATTTTGGAAGTCTCAGGGAGAGAACATCAATTCAGCTTCATTTAACTTAAGTTCCCAGAAAAAATCTCCCCTAACCTCTCCTCAGGGTTCCCGGTAACCCAACATCAGGCCAATGCCCTGAACTTCTACTGAGAACTCATTTAAAGGAGATGAGTGGAAGAAAATCATGGCAAATCATTTCAAGGGGAAAGAAGTAGGTGGCTGGGTCATCCTTAGTAAGGTGTTCAGGAATTCTAGGACAATGATTCCAGCTCTACAGAAATGTTCTGTAACCTTACAACTAATTGTCTGAGAAAGTGAGCCAGTATCAGGGCGTGATACTCGAATGAGGGTAACTCCCGCAGATTTTATGCGGATGATCCAAGGGGCTAATTCTGAAGGTGTGGGTGGGTAGAGGGGGACCAAGAACCAGGTGTGTTATTGCCCGGAGGCCTGAAGCGAGGTGGGAAGGAGAGGTGACAGGAACCTGACCTAGGAGTTGAAAGGTTCAGGGACAAAGCCAGCCCACATGACCTTGCAGGGAGGGGTCAGGAGAATAAATATGCTGGCCTCACACTCTGTTTCCCTTTCCAGTCTACTGCAGGCCTCCCACTGGCCAAACCCAAGCAGAAGCCAAGGACGAGTCCTCTTGCTGCCATACAGGTCAGTCTCCCAGAACAGGGGGTAAAGAGTGATCTGGAGGGGAACACGGGAGGTCAGTGGCATAAAGGACTATGAAAACATAATAACAGGCAAATTTGATGAATACAGACTGCTCAGAGACCAAGCAAACCAGGTTATGCTTTCCTCGATATTGTGATGTGAGCACAGGGTGGCTGCCGTCAGCAAACCGGAAGCAGGGAAGCGGCTGCAGTAGGGAGAGCAGAATGGCACCTTTCTGCTCTGAAAAGGCTCTAATGAGTTCAACTCCTCATCCCCAAGAATTCTACTTCAGAGAATCTGTCCCAAAGAAGGAGAAACATGTACAAAGATTTATTTGCAGAAGTGAAACATTGAAAGCAGTATAAGTGTGTAAAAATAGGAGACTAAGTAGGTATGTGACATATCAGCATCAATACAAAGAATGTGAGTGATGGCATGTGAGGGACAGTGCAACGGAGGTGTTCAGAGCATGGAGCCTGGGAGGCTATTCGGCTCAGACTGTTAGTCTGGGGCAGCTGAAACACTGTCAGGGGAAGAGATGCCTTTGTAATGGAGACGTCTGGGGGAGGCACCACCTTAACCAAGGGATCAAACTTTGTATCACCAATGATGGGGTCAACGGACACATGCCTCCTGGTGACACGCAATGGCAAGGACACAACATTTACCTACTGTTACTCCCAAAAATATTTAACCTGACTTAAACCATGAACAAATCCAGACAGTGTGGAATTCTGAAAGATACCTAGGGTGCTCTTCAAAAAATGTTAACATCATTCTTAAGAGGTTTGCTTTAGATGAAAGGAGATGAGATATGACAACTAAACACTGTGTAGGCTGAAGTGCCAGGTCTACAACTTACTTTTGAATCATTCAGCAAGTGTGTGTTCGCATGTGGGTATGTACACACCTGAGCACAGATAGGAAAGCAAGAGGCAAGAGCAAACAAATGTAGCAAAATGTTAAGAACGATAGTGAATTCACATGAAAGGTATGTGGACTTTTATTGTATTATTGTTGATTGTTCTGTAGGTTTGAAACTTTCTGAAATAGACTTCAGAGACTAGATCTGTTTCCTTGCTCGTAAAAACCTCTTGGGATTGTAGTAAGCACTAAATGAGGTAATGCATATAAAATGCCAAGCACACTGCACACAAGAAATGTTAGTGATGTCTGTATGTGCTTTGTTATTTATGACCATGATAGAAATCACTAAGTATTTCCACCTCCCTGCTTTCCACCACATGGCAGGATCACATTTCTCTGTCCCTTGTTAGGTTGGCAAGGTTACGTGACTGGCTTTGGACAGTGAAACATGAGATAAGCAGACCGGGTTTGAGTCACTGCCCCGTGTGTTTACTGCTTCACACTGGCTGTGCAGACCAGCACGACACGGACTTTTGTCGTGTGAAGCAATGAGCTTTAGGGACTGTAACTGAAGCCTAACCTAAACCAGAAGTCCACAAAGAATGGACCTCAGGTCGAATCCTGCCTACCATTTGTCAATTGAGTTTCACTGAAACACAACCATACTCATCATTATGGCCTGTGGATACTATGACAGCAAGAGTTGAGTAGGTGCAACAGAGACCTTATGGCCTGCAAAGCTGAAAATATTTACTATCTGGCCCTTCAGAGAAGTTTGCAACCCTTGACCAAGGCTGTCTTAACTACTACAATCAAAACAGACGGTAAAGTGAAAAAGAAAACCCAAACCATTTATAAAACATGACTTTATACTAGCTGTATGACCTTGAGCAAGTTACTTATTATTTGTATAATCTTTTAGTTGCCTTGTGTGTAAAACGGTGGTTATACTAGTATTTACCTCCTCATGAATGAATTCTTGTATGTAAAACCCTTGGAACCAGGAGGCTTAGAAGGGAAATGCCAGAGTAGCCAGAAGTAAAGGCAGGGATATGAGCTGATGAATATAAAATCACTAAGGCAAAAACCTAGTAAACACCCAATTATTCCAATTACATAAAGATGAAATATATTTGAAGAGAAACAGAAGACTAGAAGACAAGAACACATAATAGCAACAGTGGCTATCTTTTAAAATATTAAGAGAGACTAGTAGTGGCTTTTTTTCTTTGTTGTACCATTCTGTGTTTTCTATGATTGAACATATTATAATCAACAAAGAAAAATCCATGTTTTTTTTATAAATGCTGAAAATTTTTAATACTTCTGTCATTTCACAAAACATCTTTTGTTGACATTCTACAAATGATACCATCCAATAATGTTCCAATACTTTCTTCTTGTGAAGATAGTTTATATATCTGTAAAAACAGAAGACAAATTATGGCATGCTAATATATTCATGCACTACTCATTTTCATCATACAAACATGTGTAAGTGAAATTATCATTCAACTACTGGGATAATGGTATGAAATCACAAATGTGATTAAAATATGCAAAGTAGATGGCAACTCATCACTTATGTCAAAAAAAAAGTTCCCTTTAAATTGCAGTTATGGTGATAACCCTCTAAACACAGAAACCAAATCTGTACCAATTTTAAAAGCATACATCTAGACATTAAAGATCAAGCTTAGACAGGGCCACCTGTGTGGCTCAGTCAGTTAAGCATTTGCCTTCAGCTCAGGTCATGATCCCAGGCTCCTGGAATCAAGCCCTACATTTGCATCGGCATCAGGCTCCCTGCTCAGCGGGGAGTCTGCTTCTCCCTCTGGCACCCCCCCATACTCTCTCTCTTGCTCTGCGCGCTCTCTCAAATAAGTAAAATCTTCAAAAAAAGATCAAACTTACACAGTGCATTTGAAATGTAAAATATAGAATGTATTTATTCTTAGAGAATGCTTTTACCACCAAATTTCTAACTATATTTTATATAAACCTGCACCTTCTAATTCTTAGCTTCTGTAATTATTTTCAAGTAATTTTAATTACATTACATTTTCTTAAAAGTTCAAAAAAAAAAAAAAAAACCAACCCAGAAGCATTGGTGATCAATAGGCAAACAGCATCAGTATTATTCTTCATCACACTCTTTCTAAAAATACAGATTTACAAACCTTTTTGACTTCTGTAATATTTGTTATGTCAGGAAGGTTTTTTAGAGAAACTTGATGACCTTCAACCTGAGATATTAGGTCTTCTTGATTTATTTGTTTTTCTCCCTCTTCAATGTAAACAATAAGAATTGAAGTGTCATTTGCTGAGATACCAAATTTTTTCAAAGCTTCTGAAATCTAAGAAAAAAAAAAGTAAAGACAATAAACCAGTAGTTTTTATGTCTATCCCCATCAGCCTCCCTCTCTGGCTGGGTTATTTTACATTTCCTAATGGTTCTCTCCACCTAGTGTTTCTCTTCAACAGCCCTTCCTAACACCCTCCAGCTCTGCCTCTGGAGCACTCTGCTCACAGCTGCACCTCCTTACTGCACAGTCAAGCCCATTCTTGGCATGGCACACAAACACCCCCTCCTTCTGATCCCCACTGATCCTCCAGCCATGCACACCTACCTTCTAGCCAGCCTGGACCGTGTGGGGGTCCCATCATTTCACACTTTTTTTCCTCATCCTCTGCCTGGAGTGCCCTCATCCTTCACTGCCCAGTACACATGGCATTCCCCACTGCACCCTCCTCCTTACAGGAGTTGCTTCCTTGCTGTTCCCGTAGGTTTGAATTATTATTCCCACTATATCATTTATCTTAGAGCAGTTGGATTTGTCATTTCCCTGCCTTCCTCAGGAGTGTATTTGTTTCTCCTGCCCTGGAACTGTAGCCAAAAGAGGAACCAGCCCAACAGATGCTTACTGAATGGAATAGTTTCTCAAGTTATTTCAAATGATCTCAAAGAAGTAATTATCTGGTAACTTTTTCTCTAGGTACCAAGAAATTCTATTATCCTGCATTTTATAAACTTTATAAAATTTCAAACGTTATTTTAAATCATGCTACAGGTTTCCCAATTATCCTCTGGATGATACTAGTACCTGGTTGTGTTATTAACAGTAGTGGTGATACTCAAACTTCATCAGCAAAATTTCAGGCTTTTTTTTTATGTGCCACAGATGGAATGTCTTTAGCTCAGTAACTTTGATTACTACCAGTATCTCAAACCCAAACTTCTTCACACCCGGGGGTGTGAGTGAGTCAGTGTTAAGAGCTGTTCCAGGTAACTGGCAGGCTTCTAGATATGGAAAAGACATGGATTCTATCCTCAAGGAGTTTATCGGGAGAGTAGTTGTGCATGATAACACACAAATATCCATGCTTAGTGTTTTACCATTTAAATGTATATATCATGTAGAGGGATCTTCCTATTATATGGTAAGAAGGACAGATAAAACTATCCTCATTTCATGTAGCTAAACCTTTGTTTACTCATATGTGAAATGACTGCTAAGCTTATTTGTCTAGTAAGAGGCAGTGCTAAACCTCAACTCTGTCCAGAACTCTTTTTTTTTTAATGTTTTATTTATTTATTCATGAGAGTCAGAGAGAGAGAGAGAGAAAGGCAGAGGCAGAGGGAGAAGCAGGCTCCCTGCCTAGCAGGGAGCCCGATGCGGGACTCAATCCCAGGACCCTGGGATCATGACCTGAGCCGAAGGCAGACGCTTAACCATCTGAGCCACCCAGGCACCCCTGTCCAGAACTCTCTTAACTATTATTTTGCTTTGTTAAAAATAACAGGCATACAGGAATTTAGCCTCCAACCCAACACTAGGGAATACAAGGTGTATCATGACAAGGTCAACAGAAATAAAGTAAGTGAAATCCCTATTAATTACACTGTTATTTGGGGAAAGGTTGAAAATAATTTCAGTTGATAGAGTTCTTGTCTTCATTTTTCCCAGTTTGTAGAGATGAACTGCTTTGTTTGCTGCCACAAGTATCTGAAATGGATCAACAATCTACCAAAAAGAACAGAAAGAATTACACGTGGAGCGTCTAGAGATGCATGCCTTATCTCTTGGTAACTCCAATGTCAGGCTGTTTTTACTTCATCACAACTTCTATGGACTATGTTTTCAAAATTGCTGGGTGCTCAGAAAATCAGAATTTTAAAGCTGCAAGAAACTTAAATAGTAAACATTTTTAAAAGAATGTCACAGGAAAAGCTATATTCTAAACATTTTACATGTATTATTTTAATCCTTAAAACTACCCTATGAAATCGGTGTTATTCATATGCAGTGGATGAGGAAACCAAAGCAAAGAATGTCTGGATTTGAATCCCAGCTCTGTCACTTACCACTGAGGGGACTTGGGCAATTCCTTAGGTTTACCTGTTAGATGCAGATAATCATAGTAGTTACTTCATAGGGTTGTTGTGAAGATTGAGTTGGTATATGGAAAGGAACAGAGTAAGCACTCTCTAAAGGTTGTCCACCACTTGCTCGAAGTCCTAATGGCAGAGCTGGGATTAAATCCTACTGCCATGGTTCCATGGTGTGTGCTCTTAACCACTATGCACGCCTCCTGTGCAGAGATTTTTTTTTTTTCCAACTAACAGCTTTCTAAAATTTTTTACTTATTTTTAAAATTCTTTCTTTAAATTCAGTTTACATATAGTGTATTATTAGTTTCAGGGGTAGAATTTAGTGATTCATCACTTGCATATAACACCCAGTGCTCATTTCATCAAATGCCCTCCTTAATGCCCATTACCCAGTTACCCCATTTCCCCCACCCACCTCCCCTCCTGCAACTCTGTTTGTTTCCTAGAGGTCAGCCTCTCTTATGGTTTGCCTCCCTATTTTCATATTTTTTATTTTTCCTTCCCTTCCCCTATGTTCATCTGTTTTGTTTCTTAAGTTATACATGAGTAAAATCATATGGTATGTCTTTCTCTGACAGAATTCTTTTGCTTAGCATAATACCCTCTGGTTCCACCCACGTCGCTGCAAATGGCAAGATTTCACTCTTTTTTGATGGCTGAGTAGTATTCCATTGTATATATATACACATCTTCTTTATCTGTTGATGGACATCTGGGCTCTTTCCATATTTGGGCTATTGTGGACATTGCTGCTATAAACATTGGGGTGCATGTGCCTCTTTGAATCCTGTGCAGAGATTTTTCTAGTTCAGATGAGAAGATGAAGATCCAGGCATTTGCCATTATGTCAGAACCAGACCACAACCTTTCTTATCTCCTGGGGAAGTTCCCGGCACTTCAGCTTCTATTCACTGTTAAATTCAAGGTTGGCCCAGTCTGACTCCACAGCTTGGACAAGAACTCTTTACCCAAAGATGACAATTTTAGGCTAACCTATAACATCATGAAAAATTAACAATCGCTTCAATGCCCTGTTATAGCTTATCTATTCTCACTTATACTTACCACCTTAGGGTTTATTAATGAACCCTCAATAGCACCTTCCATGGCCTTTTTTCTCAAGTCTCCAGCATTTTTTACATCTTTAAATAACAGAAGGGTCACCCTGCATTCGGGAAATAGGTCCAGCTGATGTGTTAACTGCATTTCATAGACAAGCAGGATTCTATTTGCATAAAACCAAAAAGACCAAAAGACTTCATTTATTTAAAAGTTAACGTTATAATTCACTAAAAAATATCCTTAACAAATAAATTAATTTTAATAATAAGATGACAGAACTGTTAAACTAGAAGAATCCATCCCAAAAGCACATTTGGCATCCTCATGAGATGTCTTCCCACCCCCGCTGAGTTGTTTCTAGCTTCCTTTATCATTCCTCAGAAAGGATCAAGGTTGCTCCCTGGTTCCAGGATCTGATGCATGGCTGAAGGGAAGTTTCTCTAACCAACAAGTAGGAGTAGAATGTCAGGAATTTGTTAGACCAGAGGTTACTTATGGTATTAGTGAAACCTCACTCCAACTTAGCCTTTTTAGCTTTCTGGGCTTACCATTTTATGTATATTTTAGCAGAACCTAGACACAAATATTAAGAAAATAATTTTATTGAAGAAAGTATGACACTTGACTCAAAGATACTCATTTCACACATGACATTTAAGCAGAAAGGGTTCGATGACTAAAAAATCAATACTGGCCCCTTCTTAGACATAAGTTTAATAAGGAAAGCACAAAGACATAAAAGAAACATGAAAGACAAGAACTTGAGTAAATAGAAAGACAACCATATCCTTGAATTAAAAAACAAAGTATTGCAAAAATTTGATATTTAAAACAATTTCAATCAAAGTCTTAGTGAGATATTTGGGTGCGGCAATTTGATAAATTCATTTTATCCTTTTACATGGTAGATTCCATTTGTAGGACTCTTTACAAGGAATAAATTAAAAACCCATAAACTGATGGAAATTAGATGTCCTCATCATTCTAATAGCAAAAAATTGAAAACAAATTATCTAGCTAATAATGGGATTTGTGGCTAAACAACCATTAAAAACTGTAGTCTTTAAGAGCAGTTAAGGATGTGTGAAAACAGCAATAACAATGAGTAAAAACATCTGATTGAAAAACAAAACATAAAACGTAGCATAAATAGTGGGCTTCTCAAAAAAATGCATAAAAAATACTGAAAGGAAAATACACCAAAAAGTTCTCTCTGACTCGGTGTAATTACATCTTTTTGTTAGGAAAAAACAGTATGTGTGAATAATGTCCTGGGCACACCGCAGTTCAATCTTTATTGTCACGGTAATGTCCAGTGGGGGGGGGGGAAGATACAGGAAAACCTAACGAATATATTCCCAATTACACAATAAAGATACACACAGAAAACAAAAACATGAAACATACCAAAATACGGCCATCTCGGGTGGTAGGATTATTGGTAATTTTTATTGTCTTCTATTTAAAAAATGTATTTCTGAATTTTCTACAGTGAGCACACAAAATAGGAATACATATAATCAGCAAGGAAAAAAACTCTTCGCTGTTTATGTTTTCACACTAGGGGAAAAAGGACCCCTGGCAAAAGTCAAAATATAATTCCCTCACTTAGGCCAGAAGCTTAGAATCATCGCTGGATACCTGCCTCTCGCTCAACAATCTTGACGATTTTACCTCTTAGGTATCATGCCCCCAGCAACCTCGCTCGCTCATCTACAGCTGTGGCCTCCCAGGGGCGGTCGCCTCGCAGTTCCTGCCCTCCCATCATCCAACCTCCACCCGGCAAGATGAGCGATCCTCTCCAAAAGTAAGCCACAGCTGGTCCTTCCGCTGCTCGTGTGACAAAGCCCCCAGCCCCTCCAATCCGGGCCGTCTCTCCCTCCTCCGCTCGCAGGCGCGTCGGACCCGCGCTCTTTCCGCCACCGCCGCAGCGGCCTCCCCGGTTTCTGGTCCCCGGGCTCTCGCCCCCGCTCTGACTTCCGACAGGCAGAACCCCGACTCCTTCCTCCCTCCCTTCAGCTCACCGTTAAGAGCCCATTTACCAGGGCGCCCGGGGTCCAGGTCCCTCTGAGACGCGCTCCTCGGACCTCTCAAGACGTCAGGGAGCCGGCACCCGGCCCTGCCGTGCTGCGTGCCCGGGGCTGGCACTCCGGGCCCCGCCCCCAGCCCTCTCCGTCCGGCCCCGGGAGGACCCACACGCGCGTGCTCCCGGTCCGCCCGGAAGACCTTCCCCTCGGAAACAAAGCCCTCACTTTCCGGAAGCCGGGCGGTAGTCGCGTCCGCCCCTCCCCACTCGCTTCTTCCCTAGCCTGAGCCGTCAGCGGACGCGAAGGAGAGCTGGGGCCCCGTTCGTCACTTCCGGCTACCGGGACGGTAAGGACATGGGGACTGGACGCCGAGTTCTCAGTGCTGGGTCTCAGCCTTGTCTCCGACGCGTGTTGGGCGAGACGTCGGTTTCTTCCAGTGCAAAGAACAGTGTTGGCCAGGATGAGCTCCACCTTCGTTTCCGCTACAGTTCTTTGCGGGCCAGGAGGGACTCGTTCCCTTCTTGCTCTCGGTGCGGTCGGTCATTTAGGGAGGATCTCCTGGAGTGGACCGCGGCTTGTCTCCGGTACTTAAAGATAGGTGACAGGACACTGATGAAATCAGCCTCTTCCTGCATCTAGCAGGCTCAGAAATTTCTCATCCCTAAGTGTATCAGCCTCCAAGAGAGGAAGTAATCCCCTAAACAGGTTGCAGAGAATTATTTTCCATGTTCTATATGGTTGGAGCTCATCTTGGACAGTACTTTTCTTTAAACAGGTAAATTTACACAGGTAAATAACAGATATAGCTGTCGGGTGGATATGTGCTATAGAGAAAAAAGCAAGGAAAAGGGAGGAATGCCTGGCCGTGGGTGTTACTATTTCAAATAAGATGGTTAAGATCTCACCAGAGAGGGCCCTTATAACAGTGACTGGAGGAAGTCTGAAAGCAAGCTGTGTGATCTGGGAGAACAGCATTCCAGGCAAGAAAGAATTCAAAGGCTCTGAGTCACATAAGGCCTTCCCTAGGCTTCCCCTATTTAAGGGATAGCAAAGAGTACCGTGGGCTTGAACACAGTGGGAATATATATGTGAAAAAGATATTCTGACCAAAGATTGGTATCCAGACTATATAAAGAACGCCTATAACTCGATAAGAGAAAACAACCTAATTATGAATGGGTGACATATTTGAACACTTTACAAAAGATATATGAATCAGGCCAATAAACACATAAGATGCTCAACATCATAGCAGAGTAATGCAAATTTAAAACATAATGAGCTACTACTACACACCCACATAACTAAAATTTTAAAAACATAGTATAAGTGTTGTCAAACACAATTGGTATTGCTGGTTTGAGTTTTATAAAATAGTATAACCACTTTAGAAAAGAGTGGCAGTTTCTTAATAAATCAAATGTGTATTTACTCAGTAATTTCATTCCTTGGCATTTACCAGGAGAAATGAAAACATGTACATACAAAGGCCTGTACATGAATGTTCACAGCAAGTTTACTCTTAATACAAAAGACTGGAAACAACCCAATGCCCAACAACATGTCAATGGATAAACAAACTGTGGTAAATTCATACAACGAAGTACTACTCAGAAACAAAAAGGAATGAATTACTGATACTTGACAATACTTGCAACATGGATGAATCTAAAAAACATGCTCAGCAAAAAAAGTAAGAAACTAGAATTTAATGTATTACCATATGATCCCGTTTCTACAAAACTCTAGGAATTACAAATTTATTTTAAAGTGACTGGAAAGCAAAAGAGTGATCGCTGGGAATGGAGGAGTGGGAGACAAGGACTGGAAAGGACCCCAAGGGAATCTTTGCTGTGAAGCCAATGTTCTAGATCTTGATGTGGTGTTAGTTACATAGGGAGTAGGACTTTGTCAAAATTCATCATACTATGCACTATAAAAGTATATCTTATAGACTATAAATTATGCCTCAAAGTTGATTAAAAATAGACATTAATAAAAAGCGGCTTAGTTTTTAGCAGCTTATTTGTAACCACCTAGAGCTGGAAACAACCACAATGTTCATCAAGTGAATGGATAAGCAAATCATATATCCATACAATGGACTACAACTTGGCAATAAAAAGGAACCAACTATTGTGACACAGAATAACATGGATGAATCTCAAAATAATCACACTGAATAAAAAAAGCCAGACGTAAAAATAGTACATACTGTATGATGCCACTAACATTAAGACTGCAGTCACACAAAGCAGATCAGTGGTTGCTTAGGTAAAGGGCCTTGGGTGGAAAAAGGGAATTACAAAACAACACAAGGAAACCTTGGGGGTAATAGATACGTTCTGTCTTAATTGTGGCAATGGTTTCATGATTGTATACATGTCAAAAGTATCAAATTGTACATTTAAAAACATACAGTATATCATGTCAATTATATCTCAAACTTTATTTATTTTTTGGAGGAAGGTGGGGAGGGGCAGGAGAAGGAGAGAGGATCTTAAGCAGGCTGCACACCCAGCATGGAGCCTGACACAGGGCTTGATTTCACGACCCTGAGACCATGACCTGAGCCAAAATCAAGAGTCAGATGCTTAACTGACTGAGCTATGAGGGCGCCCCCTCAAACTTTTAAAAATCACAATGAGACAATAATACATCTGTATTAGAATAGGTACAATAAAAAAAATTGACAACACTAAGTGCTAGTAAGGATGTGAGCGATTGGAACTCCTATACCCTGTTGATGGGGATGTAAACTAGTACAGCCATTTTGGAAACATTTGGCAGTTTCTTATAAAATTATCTAACAATTACCTCATAGCAGCAATCTCACTCCAAGGGAAATGAACACATATATTCACACAAAAACCTGTATACAAATGTTTATAGCAACTTTGTTCAAAAGTCAAAAACTGGAAGTCTGTCAACTGGTAGATGGATAAACAAACTGTGATATATCCATACAATAGAATACTAACTCAGCAACAAAAAGGGAATCGACTATTGATCCCCCTCATGGATGCATCTCAAAAGCATTATGCTAAAGAAATCACATCCAAAAGGCTATATACTGTATGATTAAACTCACATGACATTCTAAAAACAAAAATAGAG